GTCTGACTTCCTCCCGCCCGCAGGTCGACAGCATGTCCTCCTCTGGCCCTGCAGCCGAGGGAGAGGGAACCCCCGCCCAGTCCGCGTCCGAGAAGGAACCCGAAATGCCCGACCCGAAAGAGGAAAGTGAAGAGGAGGAGGAGGACGACGAGGACGAGGAGGAGGAAGAGGAGGAGGAAGAAAAAGGTGGGGAAGGAAGGAATCGTGTCTGTGGTGATGCATTTGCAGAAAGCCGTTTGCTTGCTTTGAGCCTAGAGGCTGGAGATCGGGGTGATGTCTGGGGGAATTTGATGTGTGTGTGTGTGTGTGTCAAGCAACAGCAGAGAATTAAGTTTGGGTTGAGATTTTTGGATGCGATACTGGCGAGCGTTGAGGGTACGTTTGCTTGTGTGTGTGTTTGTGTGTGTGTTGCATTGCATTGACTTCTTGCCAGCCGACGCAGGTTCATAACATTGCACGGTTTGACAGGAAGTTTGTAAGTTTCACATCTGTTTTTCAAACTGCGCCCACCTCCCGAGGCACTTAGGTTAATATTTTAATCTTCTGCTAATTGCAGTTGCACCTCTTTTGCCTTTTGAAGTTATTGTAAGCCTTTCACGAAACCACATATTAAGTTATTAATAAACGTGCTGAGCTGCGGCAGAGGACCTTTTCGAAGGGGAAAACAGCAGGTGAAAGTTGTTGGCTACTGGAGAAAGTGGTTAAATATGAAAGCAGTGAACTCTGAAGGAAAGTTACTCAGGTGCTCGGATGTCTCGGTTTTGAAGTTGAGGGAGAGCACTATTTGAGTGGAAGCAGAAACCACCTTAGAGGTTTCCTGAAGGCTTGGTACTGTTGGGGTTAGCCCACTCCCGTACGGCCTCTGTCCTGTGCTAGTTTCCTACATTGTTTCTGACTGCTTAAAAATCTGTGTCTCAGCATTCTTTGAGAATAGCCCAGTCTTATTTTATTCAGTAGTTACAGCTTAGTGAGAAGGGGTTTGAATTTTGCTTCTCCGATCCTGAGTTGACTGTTGATTTCTTGTAAATTTAAACCAATCCATGGTCATCACTTAATATAATTCAGGTTTAGAGTATACCGTGCACCTTTTGTTAAAGTAGGTGCTCTAAGAAGGGAGCAAGCCCCCCAAAATTAGAATAAAATGCAAAGTATTTATAATACTGTACCTGAAAATTAGCTGCCTTTTCTCAGTACTAATCCAAGACTTCCTCAGCATTTTTTCCTCCCAGTTTTTTTGTTTATTCTTGAGTCTTTTTAAAAATAGGACTCAGAAGCCACAGAGGGGATGAATTTATGCATGTTGGGAGGGAATTACAGAAGTCTTTGTAAAAGTGCAGTCACCAGCATAGTAATGCTTGGGAGGCTGACGCTAGTTCAAATTGTTTTTTCAAAATAAATTTTTTTTCTTTGCTCAAGCCATTTTGTAGTTCTAATTTATTCTTTTTCTTGTGGTGTTCGTGGAACAACTAATATTGTAAATGTCTTAATTCCATTAACTCTGAAATGAGAACTCTATTGAGGAGGCAGCAGAGAAACCGGCAGTGGAGTCCACGCCAGATTAGGAGTGAAATGACTTGAGGTTTGGCGATGGTAGAAGTAGGATGACGGTGGCAAGAGAGAAGCCTATTGTAAGAAGACTCCTGGGTTTCTGTCCTTGGCAGCTGCGTGGGTAACATTAATTTCTCTAAAAAATAAAGCAGGATGAGCAAGTTCAGAGATGACTGTGTTTTGTCTGCACGGAGCATGGTTCCTGTAAGACAGAGTGGAGCTGTCCAGTTGGCAGCCAGTTCAGCTGAACTGGAGCTTGGGAGAAAGCAAGCTCTGGACTGGCCATAGAACAGAGGTCATTAACTTAGAGGTGGTAATCTAAAGAAAGCATTATGATTAAATTACTCAGGGAAAGTGGCCAGATAACCTGGGTGGCTGTAGACTGTTTTCTCTTCATTCTGTATACCATTACCAGAAAATAATCTGCTGCAGTCCCTTTTTTCCTTATTTATTCTTCATGTGCTACTCTCTCCAAATTTTGCTTGCCCTTCAAAGCTGGGTCCATTGTTTTGGTCCTTTTCTTTAAACCAAAAAATACTCTTTATTCAATTCACAGAACTTTTATTTGTATGTTAAGTTTTACTGCTTTTTATTTTGGAGTATAGTATTTATGTCTCATCAATCCTTCAATTTAATGAAGACCCGCAACAATATATAAAGCCCTGCTAAGATGTGATTTTTATCGATAAATGATTTTAGATAAATCAAATTTATATGTTTTTTTTTCAAAGATTTATTTATGCATACAGAACTGGGGTACAGGCCAGAGGTATGGTGGGTGAGAGGACTCACCAGAGACAGAGTGGGGAGCAGAACAGGCAGATGGACAAAATACATAGCTGAGGAGAGCATCGGGCAGGTCAGGACAGGTCTGCTGGGCCAAGTGGATCCCTCCCTGGCGGGGGATTTGAACTCGGGGATTTGAACTCACACTGAAGGGGCTGGGCTCACTTGCAGTGCCTCGCTTTAACCTGCTGTGCCACTAGAAGGGCCTCAATTTATGTTTAACATTAAAGTACATGATATATATTCCCCAGCTTTTTACTTGTTGGCAGTTCAGGTTAAATTTAACTATTATAATGTTTTAAGAATATTATTTATTAACTTACAAGGTAATGGGGCTCTCCTAGTTGATGTAAACTTGTAAAATTTTATCCTATCAGTAATAACTCCAGGTTGTTTGCCCTGAGGTCTGGATCTTTTGTCAGTAACTAAATTGTTACTTTTCTTTATGTTTCTTAAAGGTCTCATAAATGTGATCTAAACTTTCCGAACAATAGCAAAATGTGACTCTCAATTAATAGAAATATCTAATCAAAGAGTCAGTTTAATAAGGGCCTTAGTGATCCTTCACAGAGAAGTATTCCATAGTAGTTATATAGTTGGATAAAAGTTTGTTGTTTTGCTGTTTTTTTTTTTTTTTTAAATTGACTCCCCTGTGAAATTCTCAGGTAAGTAAAGTGTCACTCTAAAAAATCTTGGGTGATGCTATTTGTTTTATGAAGTGTCTTCTATCATTCATGTCTCATTATGATACTTGGAATAGTAGGGTATTGGGTTTCTGAGATTTTTTTTCTATGTTTATCTAATAAAGTTAGTGCAGTCTAAGCTTGTTATTAACAAAGTTGTTACATGAATTTCTAGAAAAGAGTCTTATTGTGGAAGGCAAGAGGGAGAAGAAGAAAGTAGAAAGGTTGACAATGCAAGTCTCTTCATTGCAAAGAGAGCCATTTACAATTGCACAGGGTAAGTTTGGTCTTTTATTTGGTTAGCAATGCTTAACTTTTACTCTGTACTAAGTAGTAATATGTTACTGGTACACTTTTTATTTAATTTGTCCTATTAAAAGTTACATGTAAATTATGAAAAGATAATTCCTACTATATTTATTTACAAAATATATTAATGAGTATTTAACTTTAATTATTATGGGTTTAATGGTTTTGTTTTTTGTCTAGGAAAGGGGCAAAAACTTTGTGAAATTGAAAGGATACATTTCTTTCTGAGTAAAAAGAAAACAGATGAACTTAGAAATCTGCATAAGCTGCTTTACAACAGGCCGGGCACAGTAAGACTTTGTTCATATCTTTAACTACACTGGTAGCATATTTGTATATTAAAACATTTCGTAATAGTAATAGACTTTTGGTCCTAGAAAGGACTCTTGTGCTCAAGTAGTTTAGTCTTCTTAACATACAAATTTGCACAAACATACATTTGTTGAGTTACTTTACCACAGAAAACAACCACATAGAAGCAACTGGAATTATAATATCCAGGACTGTTTTTACTGTAATTGTTTTCATACCAGACAAAATTGAAATTCTGATGATTTGGGCGAACTTTAAATGTATTAGGAAAAAAATTATTTGGGGGCTATTCTGGCCATTTAGAACAAATAATAGTTTTTCATTTTGAGCAAAGATCTGATAAATCAGATATTAATTTTTTGCTAGTGGATTTTGTTAAAATAAATCAGTGTTTCATTTACTTTGGGTTGAGTGTAAGCAAAATAAAGTTTGTCACCCGAATGTCTGAAGCATTGTGTAATTAACTAATTTTTCTTACTCAGTTCATACACAAATGAATTTACACAAGTCTCATTACTACTTAAATGGTATTAATTTTCCCAGGTACTCAGTTCTTTTCAAGATAAAATCCCTAACTTCTGATTTGGAAAAGAAATGTTATTTGTAGGATAATGTTCCTTAGGAAAAAGGGTGTCTCCTTGTGTAATAACTTTCCACATTTCTGTTGCTGTCAGGTTACATTTAATTTTGGTTTTATAATTTGCAGTAAAAAATTTCTAAAAGGAAATGCATTTAAATTAAAATTACATAAAAAATTAAGTTTGTAGATCTTTAAAAATATTAATGTCTTAGTAGTAACCAATTTAGTTTTCAGTTGTGAAATACAAATTAAATTTTTTTCTACATTACTAAGTAATGAATAGCATTAATAAGAAACATTTTTCAGGTGTCCTCATTAAAGAAGAATGTGGGTCAGTTCAGTGGCTTTCCATTTGAAAAAGGAAGTACCCAATATAAAAAGAAGGAAGAAATGTTGAAAAAGTAAGTTATTCTTATATATGTAATTTTGTGCAGTGCACTTCAAATTTATTTTTGAACATTTAAATGTAGTCACTCATGTGTTTTCAGTAACTGTTCCTTGATCTAAATGCCAAGACCTGCATGTCTTTTTACAGTTGTTGACACGTGAGGTTCACTACTTTCCAGTAAATGGTATCACTTTAAGGTTATTGAAAGCTTAAAGACCTTCCTGTTTTTTAGAAGGATGTAGGTATATTGTTCAGATGGTCTAAAGGGAACATGATGAAAAGTCTCTTGTTCTGTCAAGCCACTCTGTTCCTCTGCTTATAGGTACCACTTAAATGCTTGTGAAGCAAGATAGTATCTTTTTAGAGCTTCTGTTTATTCAGTCCCCTGTAGTTTAAGAACAAATAATAAAATGATTACTTATTCCTTCTTTGAAACATCATGGTAGGAAAAATGTATTTAATTACTAGCCAGGATTATCAAATCCCATTAGTTTTATAGTGTTGACATTTTTTAGATTCTTTTCTAGTGATTAAACTTACTCTTTTACTCTTGTAAAACTTATTTGGTAAATGGCATTTTCATTTATTGCTCTTCTGGTTGTACTTTATACTAGCCAAAATTACTGTTAGTCCTTCTAAAATTCAGAGAAACATTGGTGATTTTTTTCTGTTTGTAGCTTACCCAGTTTGGTTAGCTATTGCCCTTCTAGTGTGGAGAATGTGCACTTTTCCAGCATAATCACCTGGGTGTTTTTCATTTTCTGTTCCAGATTTAGAAATGCCATGTTAAAGAGCATATGTGAAGTTCTTGATTTGGAGCGATCAGGTGTAAATAGTGAATTGGTGAAGAGGATCTTGAATTTCTTAATGCATCCAAAGCCTTCCGGCAAAGTGAGGAACAGTTTTTATTATTTCAGTAACAAATAATTATTTTTTTATTGCTTCTCCTTAGGTTTTTTCTATGAACAATTTAGTTAATGTCACTGTCAGCATTCAGTGATAACTTCTACATTAAAAGGATGTGTCTTCCTTGGATATCTGCAACAATTTTGTGATAGAGACAAAACAGGAAGCATAGGGATGTGTTTCTCCACATCAGATGTGAAGGATATAAGTTAAGGAAAATGATTATTAACTAAATTATATCAAGTGAGACAGAAAAATGCAAGTATCTAGGGTTTTGTATTTAGAAAGCACTGGCAGAAAGCAGAAACAGTTAAATTGACTGTTAAGTATGGGGTTGGCAGGGGAGGATATATTACTAGTAATCTGGTCAAGAAAAATGAGATTGGAGCCCTCCCTGGTTGCACGGGGTTAAAGCACAGCTCTGTGAAGCTCTCCACAGCCACTGCAGCACGAGTTTGATCCTTGGTTAGTGAGGTTACCCACTTGGGTTGGCAGACCTCTCCTGACCTGCCCGCTGTTCCTTTTAGCAGTGTATTTTGGTCAGTCTGCCTGTTTTGTTCTCTACTCTGTCTTTAGTTAGTCTTCTCACTTCGCCCCCCCACCTCTGGCCTGTTTCCCAGTTCCTATAAGCATAAATAAATAAAATTCTTAAAAAAAAAAAGATACTGTTATAAAAACAACAAAAAAGCAGAGTCTTAGGACCTCCCTGATGGGGCAGGGATTAAAGACACAGTGCTGTCAAGCTGTCACCAGCCACTATGGCCTGAGTTTGATCCCTGGCCAGAGAGAGACCTCACATGGCGAAGCAGACCTCTCCTGTCTCACCCGCTGCTGCCTTCAGCAGTATAGTTAAATAGATCTGCATGTTCTGCTCCCCTCTCTGTCTCTGGTGAATCCTCTTATCCCCCATTTCACCCCCTACATCTCTGGTCTACACCCCAGCTCTTGTATGCATAAATAAATACACCTTTTTTTTTTTTTAATAATGGTTTATTTTTACATCATTTTGTGCATTTTTCCATCTCAGTTGTAATCCCTGTGGGCTTCCCATCACCAAATCACCCGTGTGCCATCACCATAGTTGAGTGCATTTCCCTCCCCCCACTGTTTTTGATCCCATTCCACCCCCATGAAATGTCTCTGGTATATAGTTGTCATTATTATTATTTAAATACATATTTAAAAAAAAAAAAAGCCGAGTCTTAGAAGTCTCTTGGATTGGGTTTTCAGAATTCTCAGTGGATCCCAGGAGCTGACCAGGGAAGTAATTTGGCCTCTGGTTTCTCTCCTGAACTCTAGATTAGGTGTGCCTAATTGTTAACTGACAGGTGACATCACTGACTTAAAATGTCTATTGGAGTGTTGTTTCTTTGACCTTGCATTTTCGGTTTAAGTCTGTCTGCAAATATTTTCATATCAATAAGAAATAGGCTGAAGGGGTCTGGAGGTTCTACAAGGTTGGAAGAGCCTGCTTTGTGAAAGGAGAGGGCATAAAGGTTAGAGCCAGAAAGTAACTCTGGGACTTTTGTTTTTCCTATTCTGGGTCCCTGCTTATTGTTCCCTGGAGAAGGACAGATGAAGGATACTTTTGTCATGTAGCTTCAAACCTAAAGGGCATGGTGATATTTTTGTTGTTATTTCAGACTGGCTTAAAGAGGAGAGAGCTATCTTTCAAACTTTTTTGTATTTCATGTGGCAATTTGGTCACTGTTTCCTCAGAAGCAGTTATTGAATTGATAGGGATCATTTTTATATTCGTCTTTTCCTTGGTGATTTTAAATGTATTGGTTTTAGGACCTGTGTTTTGTTTCTTTTTTTAAAAGTTGCTCATTTATGCATGTAAGAACTGGGGTGCAGGCCATAAGTTATTTATTTTAATTAACGAAGACCAAAGGATCTTCTATTTATATGGGTCATTTTTATGATTTTTTCATACAAAATATTTTTGTTAATGGTTGGAGGGCCACGTAAATTATTTTCCAGATTTCACTTAGAATACACAGGTAACACTTTCTGAAGAATTAGTGCTAAGAGTAGCATTGTTTTTGTTCATGTCTGGCTTAGGAGAAGACAGCTTGATCTCATTTGATTCTGCTGAAATTTTGTGACAGTGTATTATTTTGCTTAAAGTGTTTGAAGAAAATTCAGCATTTTACAGGTATATCCTTAGAAAAAGGAAACATCATTTTGCAAACCCATTGAAAGAATTGTAGATATACTCCTTTGATACAGTAAAGAACTCCAAGGTGGTAGTTTCGTGACATGAAATCTAAAACCACATTCAGGAACCTGAACCTTTTACCTGTATATGACTTTTAAAATGTATTTCTCAGTTGGAAAATGCAGATTGTTGTAAAAGTTGGCACACTGCATGAAACACTGTTCAAAAGTCACATTACTTAATATAGCCATCTCATCAGAAACATATTGAGGTATTCAGAGACTTTCAAACTCGTGGTAGTCAACATGAATTTTCCAAAATTCAAATTTTCACTTAAAATTTATCATTAACAATAAATACTGTCAGCTGTCTTCCTTGAAGTATAAACAGACTTTATTCTTTGAGAACATGTTTATCGCATTCCTAAGTTGGGAGAATTACGGTTTTTCCATTCTTTTAAAAATGACGTGCCATGAAAGTTTTGTTTACAAGTACTTTTTCTTTTTTGTTTCCCCAAAGATTTCTTTTTATTTGTGCATTCAAGAACTGGGGTATAGGTCACATATGTGGGGGGTTGGGTGGGGAGAAGATTCACTGGAGACAGTGGGGAGCAGCAGGCAAGATGGGAAAGGTCTGCTACGCCACTTGGGTCAGCTCCCTTGTTGATGAACTCATTCTGCAGTGGGTGCTGATAAATTCATCATGCTGAGACTTAACTCCTTGAACCACAAGGGAGCCTCAGCACTAGATTCTGGTAATAGATTCAACTATATTTTAGCTCTAAGGTGTGTATACACACACACACATTTTAAAATTAGAAGTATGTGGCTCATTTTTGGAAGTTGCATAGCTTAAATGGTTACTTGAATGATTTAATGTCCTTTTACTTTCTAGTAAAGTCCAGATCCCCTCTGCAATTTCTGTATAACTAATTTTATTTATTTTCCTTATTTATGCATACAAGAGCTGGGGTGTAGGCCAGAGATGCGGCAATGGTGGTGAGAGGATTCACTAAAGAAAGTGGGGAACAGCACAGGTGGATCTACTGAAATACTGCTGAGGGGAGCAGCAGGTGAGACAGGAGAGGTCTGATGCCCAATATGGGGGTCAGCACCCTGGTCTAGGAATGAACAAGTGCTGTGGCGGGCGGCTGCTTCATAGTGCTGCTCTTTAACCTTTTTAGCCACCAGGGGGGGCCCTGTGTAACTAACTTTATAAGCAAATTATATTTTCACCTGGCACCTGAAGTAAGGTTGAAAACACATTTGAGTCCTGCATTTCATATAAATGGTACTAAAGAATTTGCTCAGATAGATTTTGTTCCTGGTAACAGGTGATAATGGCATGGTTCACATAATGGATATCTGTAGACATTTGTGGACTTCCTTATAGGGAACCTGTCAGAGAAATATTTGTGACCCATTCATTAAAGATTTTGAGAGTGATATAGAGAAGCTGTTTTCTAGTCTTCTTATGACAGTAAATTGCTGGGGTAAGATAGAAGCTATCTTGTAGATTGAGAAAATTATATTAAAGCATCCACTTTAAAATATTTTTGTGCAGGCCCTCCCTGGTGGCGCAGCGGGTTAAAGCACTGCACTGAGAATCTAAAGCCGCTTCTGCATGAGTTCGATTCCTGCCTTCCCCGGAGGTGACCACATGGCGTGGCAGACCTCTCCTGACCCACCCGCTGCTCCCCTCAGCAGTGTACTTCGTTGATCTGCCTGTTCTGTTCCCCACTCTGTCTCTGGTGAAGCCTCTCGCCGCCCCTGAGCCTCTGGCCTGTACCCCAGTTCTGTATGCACAAATAAATAAATCTTTAAAAAAAAAAATATTTTTGTGCAGGTCACAGTGATCTCCTGAGAGAGAACCTGTATGTAGTTCATGAAAGATGACTACCACTGATTTTTATATCTTTCTATAACCTAGGGTTATATGATGGAGATTTTTTTTAATATATTATACATACAGAACTGGGGTACAGGCCAGAGGTGCAGGGAAGGTGAGAGGATTCACCAGACACAGAGTGAGGAGTAGAACAGGCCGACTAATGAAGCACACTGCTGAGGGGAGCAGCGGGTGAGTCAGGAGAGGTCTGCTTCACCATGTGGGTCACCTCCAGGGAAGGGATGAACTCATGCACTTTAACCCTCTGTGCCACCAAAGAGGGCCCTAATATCACTCTTTTTTTTTTTAATATATATAGTTCAGATTTATTACTATTTTTTATCATCTCAATTTTAATCCCCGTGGGTTTCCCATCACCGAGTTACCCGTGTGCCATCACCATAGTCCAGTGCACCCCCCTCCCCACTCCACCCCCACAGAATGTCTCTGGTATATGACTGTTCATTAGTCTTATTTTCTCGCCTGGTCCATTATACTCCAGCTGTGAACAAAACCATCTGGTATTTTACTTTTTCTTTCTGGCTTATCTCACTAAGCATGATCTTTTCCAGCTCCATCCAAGTTGCTGCAAAAGACATGTGTTTGATTTTTTGGTTGCTGAGTAATATTCCATTGTATATATGTACCACATCTTTTTAATCCAGTCGTGATGGAGATTTTCTTAATGTTTTTGCTAATTGCTAGAAATAACACAAAAATGAAAAGATGCCCAAGCTTTCAGAAAAAATATCGATTCCTTGGTATATATTTTTGTAGATTCATTATGCAAGGTTATTTTATGGTTTTCAGTTTGGAAAGTTAAATACTTCCTTGTGAAAGCATTTACAGATTAAATTTGTTGGGGCCTCCTTGGTGACACAAGGAGACTGAACATTATCAAGCTATCACCAGCCACCGTGACATGAGTTCAGTACCCAGCCAGGGAGCTAATCCACCTGGCGAAGCAGACCTCTGCTGCTCCTCTCAGCAGTGTATTTCAGTAGATCTGCCTGTTTCTGCTCCCCACTCTGTCTTTGGTGAATCCACACCTCTGGCCTACATCCCAGTTCTTGTATGCATAAATAAATAAATCTTTCTAAAATATAATAAAAATTAAGTTTGTTGGTTAATGTAATTAAAGCATTTTCCTTATTTGATTTATTATTTTTTAGATAAGAATGATTTAATTGAATAATTCATAGTAATAGTAATGAACTGGAGTTTATGGTTCTTTATTACTTTGAAAATTAATACTACATATTTAAAATCATCAGTGAGAATATAATCTTGGCATTACTAAAAGTATATGAATGTAAAATATATAGTTCATTAATTTGAGAGGTGTAAAGTGGGGCTGTTATTGCCTTAATAAATGGTCCCTCCCAGTCCTTCATTGGAAGCCCTCTCTTAAAGGAGCTCCTCTGACAGCTTATAGCATGAAATAAGTTACATATTTCTTTTGACATCTGTGAAGAGTGTTTAGAACACAAAAGGGCGTTGGTAGTGCAGGAACAATTTTAGATTATCACTTAATTAAGGAAGTATCAGTCTCCAAAGAGACTAAAGCTTCTAAACTTGGAATATTACTTCATGAGACCGGACACCAGTTCACAGTTGGTTGACATAGCAATGAATACTTCATTGGTATTATCTTTACTTCTGTGCAGCCATTACCAAAATCTAAAAAAACTTCTAGCAAAGGCAATAAAAAGGAACGGAACAGTTCTGGAACAGCAAGGAAAACGAAACGAACCAAGTGTCCTGAAATTTTGTCAGATGAATCTAGCAGTGATGAAGATGAAAAGAAAACCAAGGAAGAGTCTTCAGATGATGAAGATAAAGAAAGTGAAGAGGAGGTAAGAGAATTTATCTTCCTAATTTTTTCCCACAGGACAAGTCTAATATTTCTATTGTAGGTAGAATCTGTACACAAATTCTCATCCTATCAGAGGACCATATTGTTGGTTTTTAATTTTGAAGTCACAGAAATAGTTAAGTACAAATTATTTTTCTCTTAAGGAGCTTAGTTTTATTGCCATGGCCAGAGTATAAGAGTTGAAAAGTAGGGTTGATTTGGACTGAACTTGAATCAGACTTTGAGTTGGAGACTAGAAGCGGAAAATGGGAAGGGAAAGGTAGAAAGGAGTGGGGTGGAATGAGGGATGCATCCTGAACATCGGAGCAAATCTTTTGAGATCTTTCGTAGTATATGGATATTTTGTGGTTGGTTTGACGACTTAATTTTGTCTCTTGTGAAAAAGCAAGGGGCGGGCCCTCCCTGGTGGCGCAGCGTGTTAAAGCACTGCACTGAGAAACTAAAGCCACTTCCGCACAAGTTCCATTCCCGCCTGCCCCGGAGGTGACCACATGGCGTGGCAGACCTCTCCTGGCCTGTCCACTGCTCCCCTCAGCAGTGTACTTCATCGATCTGCCTGTTCTGCTTCCCGCTCTGTCTCTGGTGAATCCTCTCA